GCGGACGTAATGCAACATAGAAGAGAGACGGAGGAGGACGAGGATATGGAGTATAACATACAACAAATTAGCAAAGCTGGCGATTTATCACCACGACATACCAACAGTCTGAAACATAGGGTGAGAAAAGGCAAACAAACATTACCTCTTCAGGTGAAAACAAGGAGCAGTAAGGACAAGGCATCCAACAGTGATCAATGATTGGGAAAATTATCTTTTGGAATATTAGGTTAGTTAACACTCAAAATTCTTTTGAGAGGTTAATTGACCTAAATAAAATATATCATTATTCATTTGTAGCTTTGATGGAACCTTTTCAAGATCCATCAGAGTTAGATCATTTTAGGAGGAAACTGGGATTTGATAATGCAGGTGTAAATTGTTCGGGGAAAATTTGGTATTTTTTGGAGATCGGAGTGGGAAGGAATCAACATTCTAGATACTGTGCAGCAAGTCACCATTAGATTCAAGATTGACAACAAGTTTTTCCTTATTTTTGTCGTATATGCTAGATGCAAAGCTTTGGAAAGACTTGAACTTTGGGAAAAGTTAGAAAGTATTACTGATAGGGATCGATGGCCATGGATTATTGAGGAATATTTTAATGTTATATTAAATGAAGAGGAGAAACTTGGAGGGCTTCCTTTTACTCAGCATGAGGCCATAGATTTTGCATCATTCATCTGTATGTGTGGTTTATTAGAAGTACAAACGTTTGGAAGCAAATTTACTTGGTGGAATGGGCGGATTGAAGAGGAGTGTATTTTTAAAAAGCTGGACAGGATCTTGGTGAACCAGGAATTTGTAAAAGTGTTTCCATCATCAGAGGTACACCATTTGATTAGACAGGGTTCAGATCATGCACCTTTGTATATGATATGTAATTCGGAGGAGCAGATCACAGTCAAGCCTTTTCGTTTTTTAAATTTTTGGAGACACCACAAAAATTTCAAGAAGATTGTGGAAGAGAACTGGAAGATAGATTTTGTAGGGAATCCGTTTGTAGAATTCCAAGAAAAGATGAAAAAAGTTAAAAGCGCCCTGGATGGTTGGAGTAAAGAAGTTTTTGGCAATGTTTTCAATAAATTGCCACTATTGAAGATGTCATAAAGGTAAAGGAAGCTCAACTAGAGATTCAGCCTTCAGAAAGCAATAGAGCGGAGCTGCATAAAGTGGAGGCGGAATTAAAGAAGTACTTGAGACTTGAAGAAGAGTTTTGGAGGAAAAAGGCGGGGATGAAATGGTTTTCAGAGGGTGATAAGAATATGAAGTTCTTTCACTCGTATGTAAAAGGGAGAAGAAGGAAGCTACATATTGCAGAGATTACAATAGAACAGGGAGTCACTATAAAAACCAATGCTCACATTGGTCAAGCAGCGGTGGAGTTTTTTCGAGTGCAATTTAAAGAAAATAATTTTGTGGAAGATTATGCAATGTTAGATCATATTACAAGATGTGTATCAGATGTGGAGAATGAGGAAATGTGTAGACTGCCTACAAAGGAAGAGGTAAGAAAGGTGGTGTTTGAATTAAATGGGAGCAGTGCATGTGGTCCTGATGGATTCACAGGGCACCTTTATCAAGAATGTTGGGAGATAATAGGGGATGATATTACTAAAATGGTGTGTGCATTTTTTTTGCGGACAAGATCTAACTAAGTTCATCACTCACACTAATTTAGTGTTGCTGCCTAAGAAGGAGACATTGAAGAATTTTTCTGATTTACGTCCCATTAGTCTTAGTAATTTCATGAACAAAATCATATCCCGGGTGATTCATGAGAGAATGATCATGGTATTGGCAAATATTATTTCACCAACTCAATCAGGCTTTGTCAAGGGTAGGAGTATTACGGAGAATGTTTTGTTGGCATAAGAGATAATCAGGGACATCAATAGAAGGAACAAGAATGTAAATGTGGTGGTAAAGCTGGATATGGCCAAGGCGTATGACCGGGTATCATGGGTTTTTCTTACTAAGGTGTTAAGGAAGTTTGGTTTTCCGAAGTAATGATTGATATAGGTTGGAGGATAATGTCCAATAATTGGTACTCGGTCCTTATAAATGGGAGGCATATGGTTTTTTTCAGTCTTCCAGAGGACTTAAGCAGGGGGATCCTTTATCCCCAACTTTGTTCATTATAGAAGCAAAGGTCCTTGCTAGGGAATTGAATAGCCTACATACAGATATAGAGTTTAAAGGATATGGCCTACATAAGTGGAGTTCGAAAATCAATCATTTATCCTATGTGGATGACACTATTTTATTTTGTTCAGGAGATAGAGGATCAGTGATAAAGATGATGAAGATTTTGAGGGATTATGAGGATGTATCGAGTCAAATGGTTAACAAAGCAAAGAGTTTTTTCTATTTACATGATAAGACTCTTTTGATTGTTGCTATTAGAATGAGGAGACTGACAGGGATTAGGGAAGGCAATTTCACTTTCACTTACTTGGGTTGTCTAGTTTTTTATGGGAGGAATATCACAAGTCATTTTGAGGAGCTTATTAGAAAAATTGCCAAGAGGATTCTTTCATGGCATAACAGATTCTTAACTTTTTGTGGAAAGCAAATTCTCGTGAATAATGTACTCCAATCTATGCCTGTGTACATTTTGTCAGCTATGAATCCTCCCAAGAAAGTAATTGAGCAAATACATCAAATATTTACGAATTATTTTTGGGGGAAGACAGGAGGTGTCAAAGGGAAACACTCGGTGGCTTGGAATGAATTATGTTTTCCAAAGGAGGAAGGGGGCATTGGTTTTAGATCTCTTCGTGATGTCAATAAAGCATTATTTGCTAAGCTATGGTGGTCGTTCAGAGTTTCCACCAACTCACTGTGGGCCAGTTATATGTGGAATAAGTATTGCAAGAAATTGCATCCTGTTATGGTACATAGTAGAAGGGGTTCGCACATATGGAGAAAAATGGTTAATATCAGGGAGGAAGTGGAACATGACATTTGGTGGCAAATTAAGGCTGGAAACTCGAGTTTTTGGTTTGATAATTGGACCAAACAAGGTGCTTTGTACTTCACGGAAGGAGAACATGCATAAGAAGAAGAAGTGGAGGTGAAAGATTTTGTAATAAATAGAGGATGGAATGAACAAAAGCTGAAAGCAATGGTATCAGATGAGATGGTACAGCACATAATTATGAACATTAGACCTCCCGGTACTGAAGCTATTTTAGATAAGGCCTGGTGGGTACAAAGTTCAAAAGGAGATTTCATTGTAAAATCAACATTTCACATCTTGAGAAGAAAGAAAGAAGAAAAAGATTGGAGTAGTTACATGTGGGTAAAGGGTTTACCTTACAAGATCATATTCTTTTTTATGGAGAGTTTGGGATAAAAGAATAGCCACGGATGATAATTTGAAGAGAATGAGGGTGCAAGTGGTGTCTAAATGCTATTGTTGTGAAAAAGGAGAAATTGAGACTACGTCTCACTTATTACTAACAGTTCCCATAACCCAAAAGCTATGGAAGCAGTTTGCTTCATGTGTAGGAATCAACATAAATGGGTTGAATCTAAAGCAACTCATTTATAGGTGGTGGGAGCACAAAATGTCAACTAAGCTGGACCAAATACTAAAGGTCATTCCAGCTATCATCATGTGGGAGTTGTGGAAGAGAAGAAATCCTAATAGGCATGTGAAGGAGATATCTTATCAATATCTATATCATCAATGCCAATTGACAATACATCAATTAATAAGAGTTAAATTCCCATGGATTAAAGGATTATCCTGTTACTAGTCAGAAATGGTGGACACATTGAAGAGTTACAAACCTACTTGATACTTTAGGATTGTTAGATGGTTGAAGCGAGGAGAGGGGTGGATTACTTCCAATACTGATGGGGCAAGAAAAGGCAATCCAGGTCAAAGTGCGTATGGATTTTGCTTAAGGGACAGTAGTGGAGATCTTATATATGCAGAAGATCAGAGTTTGGGGATAGCTACTAACATGGAGGCAGAGGCAAAAGAAGTTCTGGAAGCACTTAAGTATTGCATTAGGAAAAAACTAAATCAGGTTCAACTGGAGACTGATTCCCTAGTGCTTAAAAACATTATCAATAGAAATTGGAGAATACCATGGGAGCTAGTAGAAATAAGGGAAGACATTCATAATATGCTTGGAAAAGTTACACTAAATGTTCGACACATTTTCAGAGAAGCAAATCAACTAGCAGATTGTATAGCTAATTCAACAGTCAATATAGAAGATAAGCAAATATTCCTTAATTTTCAACAATTACCAAGTAAGGGAAGAAAGCTTTTGAACATTGATAAATATCAGGTCCCCTCAGTTCGTATCAAAACAAGAAAAATTAATGTGTACAATAATGGACAACATCTTAGCCAACAAAAAGAGATAAAGGGATTAGCAAAAGACGAGAGTAAAAGGGCCAAATCTGAAGTGGTAGAGTGCATCCAGTAAAGAGATATGGTGATTAACGCTCGAGAACATCTTCTCCTATTCGGCTTTAACTACAAGGAAAAAGAAATCAAAGAACAAAAATGAGGAACAAGTTCAACACTTACAGGAATCTACAGAGAAGCATTTCCACTTGAACCAATGGTAGCAACTAGAGAGGCGAAATGAGCTAGAGAAGAGGAAGAACAAAAGAGGAAAAAGTGGAAATGATTCTTTTAGGAAATCCTAAGGGATAGCTCTTTTTTTACTCACCTGGTCGGGTCACTTTTGGGCCGACCAGGTATCTTATATTGTAATAAGGAGCATGGCCCATTTTGATTATCAATAATACAGACTTTGAGTCCAAATTTGATTTTTAAAAAAAAATAGCTACCAGGAGAAGCAATGCATGACACTTGGTGGAGATTCAGCCAAAAGCTGAAGAAGTGCCCAAACCATGGTCTCACTAAGAGACATCTAAAATAGGCATTTTATAGATCTTTAAATTATGTTACTAAACTTGTTGTTGATGCAGTGTGTGGAGGATCATTTTTTAGGAAGCCATTCTTAGAGAGCATGCAGCTGATGAACGAGGTGTCAAACAATAACAGGGCATGGTACACCAGGGATGTAGAAATAGGAGATCTTGGGTACATATTTGAACTTTCAGCTGAACAAAGGAAAAGAGAAGAAGAAAGGGATCAAGATATGGCACACATGAGGACCCAAGTAGATCTACTTACGAAGCATATTGTCTCAAACTCAGAAAAAGTAAATACCGCGGGACAGCCAACCAAGTATGAAAATCAGGATATCGATCTAGATGAGGAGGCTAATTACCTGGGCAACCAAAGAAGTTTCCGAATTTACAACTCGGGAAACCAGGGTTATAATTCTGGAAATGCAGGTCGGAACTACTCAAGGGAAGGACAATATGATAGGCCAGAAAACAGAAAGCAGGGAAACTGGCAGAACAGAGATGGGTACAAAAATGATCGCAGCGGTGTCTATGTGCCCCCAAGAAATAGAGACCGGGCAAGTGGCAGTTCAAGTGGGTCTAAGCTGGAAGACATGTTGGCCAAGGTGCTCCAAAAAGTTGAATCAACTGATGTAGGGGTATCGGAGATGAAAGGTGATTTCTCTAGTATGAGTCAACTCGTAGACTCTCACACCACCTCAATCAAGCAAATTGAGCAGCAGTTGGGGCAACTTTCAGCCTCATTAAATCAAAGGAAGAATGGGTCACTACCAAATGACACAATCCAAAACCCTAAGAAGGACAGGCACTGCATGGCTATCGCCACTAGGAGTGGTAAGATTATTACTGACCCAATTTCTACAGGTACTAAACATGAGTAGGTGTTGGAGCAAGTTGGAAGAGAGGAGGATGAAGCTAAACAAATAGATGACTTGGAGGATGCATAACCAATAGCAAAACCAGTAGGAGCAAAAGAAAAAGAGGTTGAGGGAACTATGCCTTTATAGCAGATCCCAAGACCACCTCCTTTTTTCCCTCAAAGGCATAAAAAGAAAGCCGAGGATGGGAAATTCGCTAAATTCATCACCATGCTGAGACAACTTTCAGTGAATATCCCACTGATGGAAGCACTAGAACAAATGCCAGGATATGTCAAGTTCATGAAAGACTTGGTTACAAAGAAGAGAGCTGTAAGTATTGATTTGACTAACCGTGTTCATCACTACAGTGCTATTGCTACTAGGTCTCTGGTACAGAAGAAGGAGGATCCAAGTGCATTCACCATACTATGCACTATCAGATCAATCAAATTAACAAAGGCCTTGTGCGATTTAGGGGCCATTATAAACTTGATGCCGCTGGCCATCTACAAGAAACTGGGGTTTGGAGTTCCAAAACCTACAGCCATGAGGTTGATGATGGAAGATAGGTTAGTGAAGTGACTTGTAGGCATCCTATGTGATGTGCTCGTAAAGTTGGACACGTTCATCTTTCTGGAAGACTTCGTGATCTTGGATTTTGAAGTGGATTTTGAGGTTCCCATTATTTTGTGAAGACCATTTCTGGCCACGAGACGAGCATTGGTAGATGTTGAGCGAGGAGAGCAGAAATTCAGACTCAACAAAGAAGAGGTAAAGTTTAATAGTTGCAGGTCCATGAAGAAGCCATATGACATGAATGTGGTGTCTGTGATAGAGGTTTTTTATGAAGAAGAAATGGGAGCAACCATTGAAGAGAGGTTGGTTGTTGAAATCTTAGTTGCAGTGATTATGAATTTTGAAGCTGATTTTTGGTCTGACTATGTAGAGACTGTGAATGCTTTGCAGGGTATGGGAGCACACACTTATGCTCCAAAGATATTGGACCTGGATTTGAAAAATAGGCCAAGTCCTCCAGCAAAACCATCCATTGAGGAGCCACCTGTGCTGGAACTGAAACAGTTACCCAGTCACTTGAGGTATGTATTTTTGGGAGCTAACAACACTTTACCTATGATTTTGGCTGCAAATTTGAATGATGAACAGGTTCAAGTTGTGATCAAAGTGTTGATAACGTACAAAAGGGCCATTGGGTGGACCATTGCTGACATCACCGGGATGCCTCCAAGTATATGCACCCATAAGATTCAACTTGAGGAGGACTGCAGTCCAAGCATTAAACACTAGCGAAGGCTAAACCCACCTATGCAAGAAGTGGTCAAAAAAGAGATAATCAAGTGGTTAGATGTTGGAGTGGTGTATCCCATATCTGACAGTCACTAGGTCAGCCCAATGCAATGTGTGCTCAAAAATGGTGGTATGACTGTGGTTGCAAATGCAAAGAATGAGCTGGTCCCACAAAGACCAGTCATTGGATGGCGAGTGTGCATGGACTACAGGAAGCTGAACAAGTGGACCTTGAAGGATCACTTCCCGATGCCTTTCATGGACCTGATGCTTGACAGGTTGGGTGGAAAAGGGTGGTACTGCTTCTTAGATGGATACTCTGGCTACAACCAGATATCGATTGCTCTTGAAGATCAGGAAAAGACCACCCTTACATGTCCTTATGGCACCTTTGCATTTAAACACATGCCATTTGGACTATGTAATGCACCAGCAACTTTCCAAAGGTGTATCATGTCTATTTTCTCGGACATAGTGGAGGACACTTTGGAGGTCTTCATGGATGATTTTTCAGTGGTAGGTGGCACCTTTGATGATTGTTTGCTTAATATTAGCAGGGCCCTACAGAGATGCGAGGAGGCAAACCTAGTACTGAACTGGGAGAAGTGCCATTTCATGGTCAAGGAAGGCATAGTCCTTGGGTACAAGGTGTCACAAAAGGGGATAGAGGTCGACAACGACAAAATTAAGGTGATTGAAAAGTTGCCTCCACCTATTTTTGTGAAGGGTATTCAAAGTTTCTTAGGACATGCCGAATTTTATAGGCCTTTCATCAAGGACTTCTCAAAAATTGCACACTCCATGTGCAAGCATTTGGAGAAAGAGATGAAATTCGTTTTTGATGAGTCATGTCGTAGAGCCTTTGAATGCCTGAAGGTAAAGCTGATTTCTGACCTAGTGATCATTGGCCCAGATTGGGCTGAGCCATTTGAGGTAATGTGTGATGCTAGTGGTACTGCTTTAGGAGTTGTGTTGGGGCAGAAGCGCAACAAGATGTTCCATCTAATTTACTATGCTAGTATGTCAATAAAAGAAGCACAACAAAATTACACAATTACTGAATAGGAACTACTGGTTGTGGTGTATGCTTTCGAGAAATTCAGAGCTTACTTGTTGGGTACTAGAGTGATAGTCCATGCGGAACATGCATCTCTGAGGTACCTCATGACAAAGAAAGATGCCAAGCCAAGGTTAATCAGATGGGTACTACTTCTTCAGGAGTTTGATTTTGAAGTCAAAGATAGGAGAGATTGTGAGAACCAGGTGGCTGATCACATGTTTAGGTTGGAGGTTGAAAAGAAAGAGGAACTCGACCTCGAAATAAATGATTCATTCCCGGATGAACAGGTATTAGCCGCTACTCTTGATCTTATTCCTTGGTTTGTTGATTTTGCTAACTTTCTTGTTAGTGATTTGATGCCTGAGGGGCTGACATTTCAGCAAAGGAAGAGGTTCCTGCATGATGTGGGTAAGTATTTTGGGGATGAAACTTATTTGTACAGGGTGTGTGCTGATAACATCATCAAGAGATGCATTCCTGAAGCTGAGATGTTGCACATTTTAGAGGCATGTCACTCTTCTCCGGTAGGTGGCCATCATGAAGGTGCTCGGACAGCCCACACGATACTTCAGTGTTACGACCCAGGGGTACCCCTAGATGAAACACGGCGTACTTGACCCGAAGGGGTTGCATACAAGCCCTTATCATAAGATAAACATAAAAGTCATAGAATGATGCGGAATTAAAAAATTTCTTTACAATCGAAGTCTTTCATAAAAGAGAATGGGAGTCTAGACATTGTCTCATTTAGCCATATAAATACAATCGAATAAGGAATAGGGACACAGCCCTTACAATAGTTCTCAAATGACATACGAAAAGAAACTACTAAGTAAAGATATTCGTCCTCGAATCTTAAGGACTCACCAACTAGCAAGGGGGATTATCTATCCCAAGCTTGAATCAATAAAAGACCTGTTTCAAGAACCAACCCCTACACTTGTAGAAAAATGTAGAAAATATGGGTTAGTTCAAAAATGCACCAAGTATGGTAGTCATGCATAAAATCATTGGAAATATGATAAAAGGAACATTTTAGTTAAAACTATGCTATATGCCAATTTGAACATCTTCTTTGAAAGAGTTGGAGAACATCACTAATAAGGCAACTCATACATAGTTCATCATATCACAAAGGATAACAACATAATCATAAGCATAGTCTCCAATCATAGACATAGTGCAAATATGAATCATCATAAGACATAATGCACATCCATAGTCAAATACCAAGATTATCTCATCATAATAGAATCATCACATAAGTAACCCTAAGTCATACTTGTGCCATGCATAGATAAGATCCCATAACCCTATATATACTAAATACCACTTTTAGGTCACCATGCTCATACTTTTCATACATTAGTCTCATCCATAGTTAATACTCATAGACAAGGAAACATTCATATTGATTAGCTTATTTCAAGGAAAGTCAATCATAACAACAATCCAAATGGAGCATGCATTAATTCATAAATCATCATAATATAATGGAACCATACCATGGCTACTCTCAAAGTCTACTTGTGTCATGTATGAATGAAGTCTCATACCCTTACTCACACTAAGTAGATCTTCTTGAGGAGTCATTAGTCATAGTTCATGTTTCATTATCATAGTTCATTTACATAGGAGAAACACACCATCGATACTCTCAAAGTCTACTTGTACCATGTATGAAAGGAATCCCATAATACCACTCCTATTAGGTAGATACTTTTGAGGAACCATAGCACATAAATCACTTTCTTGTTCATGGAGGGAAAATAGCCTTAATCGACATAGACCATATGAGCTACATGGAATTAGGTGTCGTGTAACCTCACACCGAAAGAAGGTATCCTACTTGCCTAAGGTAGAACTAAATGTATTAGCTTTTAGGTGGATCCACTAGCTAAAGACCTATGTGGGCACATATTTATGGGATTGGGAGATTGCGTCTAGAAACCTGACATATTGTATTGGCGGAGGAGCTTCCATCTCATGAGAATAATTTAGAGAATTCAGTCTTTTGAATAGACGGAAGGGCCTCTACCTCACTTTCCATATCCACTCGATGTTAAGCATTATTTCCCAAAATTATTAGTTTAGTCTTTAATTGGATTTACATGTTTGAATGAGTATTTTACCCTTCGTTCAACCCAACTGATAAAATAGCTCATAAATTCAATTAGGTGAGAATGGACTTTCAACCTTAGAATCATCATTAGTATGTGAGAATAACTTTCACACCAAGATCATGTGTTATCATGAAAATTGACTTTCAATCAACACAATAGGATCATCATGGTCATGTACATTTCATGCATAATAATGTGTAAAGGTGCATATGAGAACTAGACTTTCAATTGACACCATAGATACATCATAATAATGTTTATGCATGGAGTGTGTGTGTAATTGTCCTTGCAATGACACAACAACAATATTATCATCATAGACACTTCCCTCTCAAAGTGTTCATAAGCATGTACATAATATCAGAATCATGCATAATTCACCTATATTGCATTCAAGTATCATAGACCATATAAATCAACACATCTAACCTTCATTATAGAAGACATGGATATAATGGTAATTCAAGTAGTTCATTCATTACATGTATAAGCTCATGTACTCATACTATAGGTCATGTGGGTAAAGTCCTTCCACAATAATACCATTTACAATTAAACATGCATACTAAATTCCATCTTAAAAGCCTCACCATTCATAGCTCATTCATATTAGCTATTACCCTTAGGGCCCTAGAAGTCATCTTCATATTACAAGCTTTACTCTCAAGCATTACTTCACATGGTCATCATGTAAACCTAATTCTCAAGGTACACTAACCATATGCTTCATTCTTGATCAATTAAAGTCATTTAGTATCATATACAGTGAATCTCAATACTACTCAACCATGACACATCATATAAGCCCCAATCAAGTTAGTTCATATCTACAAGTTTTACTTACAAGAAACTCATGTCTAGGTGATCTAATCTAAGGCAATTCATTAAGAAGTTCATCAATCTTAGAAGGTCATATCTAAACCCTCAATTCGCCTCTTTCATGACATAGCCCTAGGCCACATCAATTACACCTTAGAACCTTAGGTTAATCAAGAATACATGTATAATCATACTAGAATCATGAAACTACATCATAATCAACCCACATCCAATAAATTGGACCACCTTGCAACAACATTCATAATGTAAAGAAGGACCATAACTAGGATGGCGAAACTCATGCATTCTTGAGGAATTCAAGTTAAAATCATATAAAATCAGTAATAAATTCATAAACAATCATAATTCAACCTTTAGAAGTAACTTTGAAAGGAATCCATGGGGTTGAGTTGAAACCTTAGCTTTCGGGATTTTCTAGATTTGAGATAAAAGCTTTTGAAGGGACTCCTTGGGTGATAGCTACCCAAGGATGAAAACTACCATACCTTAGGTGTAGAATCCAACCAAATTCCTATAAAAAATCTCCCTTCTTCAAGCTCTAACTTGATATCTTTCTTTGTTCTTTAGTAGAGGTTTCTAGAGAGAAGATATTTGGAGAGGAAGGTGTTTCGGAATTTGTTTGGGGTCTTGAGATATAATGAATTAATTAGGTGTTTAATGACATAAAATACTTTATATTGGTGAAATAAATCCATATTAAATGACCCCTAAAGAAAACTAAGTAAAAAGGAATTACCTAAAGTGTCCAAGTCCAAGCAGTGAAGGAGGAAGATTGCAGGTGCAATCCACGCCCCCTGACCTACGGACCGTGGGTGCATTGACTCCCCGTCCTGCAGGTCCGTAGGTGGGGTCTGAAACTCGTCATCTTGGGGCCTGATCCACTACCCGCACCTACGGGGCGTAGGTCCACCTACTGGTCATAGGTGCCATCCGTAGGTGGCCCTATTTTGGCAGCTTGGGCAGATTTAGGGAGTCTT